CACACTGGAATATTACTCAGAGATGAAAAAGAATGAAATCTTGCCATTTGCAACAACATAGATGGAACTGGAAGGTATTATGCTAAGCAAAATAAGTCAGAGAAAGATATGATTTCAGTCATGTGGAATCTGAGAAACTTAACAGATGAACATAGGGGAAGGAAGGAAAAATACAAACAGGGAGGCAAACCATAAAAGACTGTTAAATACGAAGAACAGACTGATGGTCGATGAGGGCGTGGGGGTGGGTTAAATGGGTGACGGGCATTAAGGAGGGCACTTTTCAGGATGAGCACTGGTGTCATATGTAAGAGATCGCTGGGTTCTACTGAAGCCAAGACTATGCTGCATGTTAACTAACCTGAGAATTAAAAGAAAAAAAAGAGTCAACTGTCTAAAATATATACATATACACACACACATACATACATATGTACATACTGTTGTTTCTATTTGCATCATGAAAAACCGCCTCTGATGCCCATGATCTATTGATATATTCTGGGCACAACCCATGTCACGACCTCTAGTAACGGAAGTTGCATTAACTTGGCATGCGGTGCAGGTGCTTCTCGTTCATACAGAGAGTGAGGCAGGTTTCCGCCATTGCTGGTTAACATGCCAATGTGCCCAACAGAGAGCGGCGTGATCACCACCCTCCCTCATCCTTTGGCTGACAGCTTATTGTGGTGCAGCTGGAGCCTCCATCCTTCCCTCTAGAGTAAGCTTGGTAATTGCAGCTCGGCTCTGTCTGGACCAGGGCAGTGATGAACTTTGGGGCCTGCCCCACTTCCACCAGCCTGGGCATTCTTTCTTCGCTTTCCAGGGGATTCTCTTACACACCAAAGTTTGTCCAGGTCAGTGCTGAGACCTGGGAGTCTCCTCACAATCAGATCTGTTCTAAGTACCTGTGTCAGGCACTTTCCACTCTCCCCGCTGCCTCAGCCTCACAACGACATCCCCACACCTCCAGAGACCCTTTATTGGCAACTCCTGAGCCTCCGGGGGACCTCTTGTTCAAACTGGGTCGCTTTGTAGCTTTCTCCAATCCCAGCTTTAGGATTCCGTTTTCTCAAGTTGGATCTGTTAGCACATAGTCGTGCTTACTGGTTTCCAGAGTCTTGTTGCTATTGTCTTTTGTTCTCTTTGAACCCTTGTGGGATGATGTCTGTCATTTTAAAATCTCTTCTCTGTCATTTGAGTGTGGCTTCCCATCAGGGGAGAAAAGGAAGGAAATCTGCTATCTTTAATCAGAAAATTATTTAATTCTTTTTAAAAAAAAAATTTTCTTTTACATTTATTTTTGAGAGACAGAGTGAGACAAAGCACAAGGTGGGAGGGGCAGAGAGAGAAGGAGACAGAATGTCAAGCAGGCTCCAAGCAAGTGTTCAACACAGAGCCCAACGCGGGGCTCGAACCCACGAACCATGAGATCATGACCTGAGCCGAAGTCAGTCACTTAACCAACTGAGCCACCCAGGCACCCCAGAAAATTATCATTTAATTCTTAAAGCCCATTTTAGAGATGAGGTTGCTGAAACTCAAGGAGGTTGGCTCATGCACCTACACTGGTAGTGAGTGGTGCAACCAGATCTGTACCCAGGCAGCTGCTCTTAACCGCTCTGCTCTGCCACTTGTCTGTAAAGCCAGAAGCTAAAGATTCTGCTTCAGTGCGAATCTCATAGGCTACAAGTGTAGAAAACTGTCCAAACGGAAAGGCTCTAACTTGGAAATTGGCAAATTACGTTGGATTCCATTAATATAATGGCATTGTTGTATAACACATGAATTAGAAATTGCTGATGAATAATAGATTATACCAGCTGAACCAAAGGCCTTCCAGGAGCACTTTTTGCACATTTCATTTTAAAACAACTAAAATGACATCATTCCTAGAACAGCTTGATTTGTTCCGTGCATCTAAAATAATAAAAATACAACAAAGGGACTCTTTAGAGTGGGGACATTTTCAGACAATAGTCACGAGACTGAAGAGAGGCCCATTGTGATCAAAATTGCGCTTTGCATATTGTTACTTCCTGTTCGTTGATTTACATACCACCTAAAATCATGACAGCTTTCTGTTGTGAGAGGGAAAGGTTCTGTTTAAATTCAGAACCCAATGCTAACACTTTGAGGGGGTTCTGAAATAAGATTGCACGGCTGCCTGAGCTCAACAGTGTGCCGTTTGCAACTCTCTGAGACGTCTCGAGGTCCATTCTTGTTGGCTTTAGTCACAGGCTTTCAGTAGTAACGTTAACACACCCACCATCTTTAACATAAGATTTCTTTGGTATAAGAAATGATATTGGTATTTTATAGATCATAGAAACCAAATGTCATTTCTTTCTTTGGTGCATTTCAGATTAAAAAAAAAAAGTTATTCCTTAAGGCTGTGATTCTCTTACTTCGAAACCGCCTCTCTCAGATTCTGAAAATAAAGCAGAATTGGCAGCCGTGGGGCTCACATCACAAGAACACAGATTTGACACCGCATGTGTGTGCTCTTGTGAAACTACACCCCTCAGCTTGTGCTCTCGTTTGCTGTACACATGATCTAGCCTAGATCCGGGATATATGTTATAAACAAAAGGGTGTTACTGAAGGGTCTCCATTTTTTTCCTCATCTGTCAGTGGAGAGAATATTTTTCTTTTACCTTGGGACACATGTTTGCTGTGAACATTAAGTGGGAAAAATTTAAGGTGTACGAACTATATAATACGATACAGTATCGATCATCCAAAGTATTAACTTAATTAAAAAGTATCTAGGGGCGCCTGGGTGACTAAACGTCCAACTCTTGATTTCAGCTCAGGTCATGATCTCACGGTTTAGTGACTTTGAGCCCCACGTCAGGCTCTGAGCTGACGGCACAGAGCCTGCTTGGGATTCTCTCTCTCCCTTTCTCTCTCTCTCTCTGCCCCTTCCCTACTCATGCTCTCTCTCTCTCTCTCTCTCAAAATAAATAAACATTAAAACAAAACAAAACAAAAAAAAAAAACACAGTAAAAAAAAATCCTCTAAGGAGGGAGGGAGGAAAAATCCTAGTAATGCATGAAACTGGAAATTAGGAGACTAAGAAGTCTCAGCCTTACCTGTAATGAGTTGAGAAGGCTTGGGCAGGTCACTTGCCTTTCTGTTACTCATATGAGGGCTTATGTCATCTCCAAAATTTCTCTGATTGTATGAAAACCTAGGGCCGCGCTGGAAAAACAGAGGGGAAAATGGAAGAAGGAAGCTTCATGAGTCCAGAAACATTTGGCTAGAATTGTTTTCCTCCCTTGACATGAGATCCTCAACCATGCTTTCTGATGGTTTGGACCGTGGCTTCTATGTAATAAGCCACTCACTGAATGAGCACAGAGGAAGTAATGACTTACAAGCTGAGGAATCCTTTCTCTGTAGGCTGATAGCCCGGGTCAGGTGGTATAAGAGAAAGAACCGGGAACTTAACTCCATCTCCAGTAACTGCCGTTTACGGTCTGGAGACAGGTTCTTTCCATAAAGCTTTTAAATTAAGCAAAGGAGAGGCCCTAAGGCTTCTCTCTAGATTATTCCTATTTGCATGTCTCCTCCTGTGCCCCAGATCTCTGGCATGTCTCCAAGAGGCTTCTTTTGCACTGGGTGTGAATTAAATGTTGCAGTTTGGGGTTGGGAAAGACATCCCTCTTGAGAATCTCTAAAATCATCCTCAGGATTCCAGTCTTGCCTTTACTTAATAATTTAAACCTGGAGACCTGCCAATCCCTGACATTATAATAGGGATTCACCAAATTTATCTTTGTTTTTATATATCAGGATGAATTTGTTTTCCCAGTGCCCCTTCCCCAACTTACCTACATCTCCTCATTTCTCAGACCTTTTCTCCTCCCCTCTTTCTCATCCAAAAAGATAGGTGAATTTGAGGAGGGAGGGGAACTTGAGAAGGAGGTGGGGTTTACCTCAGAGATTACTCTTACTGCTTACTCTGTACATTATCATATACTGAATTTGATACACAATGTATAATTTTTATTATCTGTTAACACTCAGGGTTTGGGTTGTTTGTTTGTTTTTACATCATAACTATATGACTTTCAATGACCATGAAGTATTAAAGGATGTTTTCTATGTCTTTTTAAAGTTCATATGTTTCTTCATGTGAATCCTACCTATTTTAACTAACATGACTTTTTCCCTTCAAAACCTCAAAGGAAAATAAAATTTCAAATGGGAAAGCTCATTGTTTGATCTATCTCATAAGTTATGTGCATATAAATTTACCTCCCCAATTTTTTATATGGGCTCTCAAGCACATAAGTCTCCTTTTCCTCTCTAATAAATGTAATTGGTCATTGTTAGCTTGTTTGGCTTTTCTCAGATAGAGGACCTTACAGACCTTGGGACCTTTCTTTCTGTACTGTCCCTTAGGGTCTGAGAGCATAGGTGCACACCGTGCAGACGTGTGGGCTGACTGTATGTGGCTGCCTGCACGTCGCCTGGGCAGTGCTGAACCCGTACGTGGGAGTATAGCACACAGACAGTGTGGTTGGCCCAAGAGGTGTACTTACTTGGCTCCACAAAGTTAACGTGTTACTGTGTTTTAGAATCTAATTTAAATTTCTGGTTTAATATTTCTTGCAACTTGCACTGTAGGGACAAGCACTCACCCACAAGTCAAGAAACCTGGGCTGTAGTTAGCTGTGTCTTCATGACCACCTGGGTGACCTTGACCAACAAGTTTTCTCCAGAAATAAAATGGCCTCTGGGGCCGTTTCCACTTCGAAACCTCCTGTTTCTCTGCTGTGCAGCCGAAGTAGCGTGCTGAGGAGGAACTTGCCGGCAGAAGGCTCTGTGGTTCCAGGTCATCTGAGGGCTTGTGCTTTGATCCCGGGAACCTTTTTGCCCACGTGATACCTGTATTGCTGCACTTGAAGCCTGGAGATAAATCCTGGGAGAGGGACCTCATCAATGATTGCAGGCTGGCCTCTCCCATCAGCTCTGTGCTGTCTGATTTCAGATGCCTGGGACAGATGAGCCCCAAGATTCGTGTGGCCCCGAGGAACCCAAGGGAAACCTGGAAAGTCCCAAGCAGGGCAGCAGTAAGATGAAACTCAAGAGTCGCCTTTCAGGTAAGCAGAACTCTGCCTGGTATGGCCTGTCAGCTTCCAGCCTCAGGAGTGGGAAGATCAAGTCATTAACAGAATGAGCTCTTTTTGTCCCCTTATACCCTCAAAATTGTTTTTCCTTTAGGTAGTACATGCCCCAAGCATAAAACCGCATTCAGCCCAGCTGCCCACGTGAATATTTTTATTTGAGTCATAATGAAGTGACTGTCAAGTTTGTGAATCTCTGTTTGTCTCTGCTTAAACTTGATCATCTACTTCCACAGGACTTCAGGTGACCCATTCGCCGTGGCGTATTCCTACTGGCCTATCTTCTGGGCACATGTCCCTCTCCCCAAGCCTTTGGTCCACCAGAACAAGGGGCAGTGAGCTATTTACTATGAAATCTACATCTCAACTACGCAGGTGGAAAAATGGGATAGGAGTTGAAGCTTTTGGGAACAAGTAGATTTCCCGTTTCCTGGGTATAGCCTCATAGTAGCTGGCCTAGGCCTTGAGAGAAAAAGTCAGTGTCGAAAGCAGAGGCCATGTGCAGAGACCTGTTATGATCCGTGCGTCCTAGGCACTATCTCCTTGATGGGCTCTTTTTCCTATTAAAAAAAAACTAAAGGGGCGCCGGCGTGGCTCAGTCGGTTAAGCGCCCAGCTCTTGATTTCAGTTCAGGTCATGATCTTGTGGTTTGTGAGTTCCAGCCCCATATCGGGCTCTGCACCAACAGTGCAGAGGCTGCTTGGGATTCTCTCTCTCTCCGTCTCTGCCCCTCACCCGCTCTCACACATGTCCTTCCTCTCTCCCTCTCTCCCTCCCTCCCTCTCTCTCTCTCTCTCTCTCTTAAAATAAATAAAATTTTAAAAAATTATTAAAAACACTAAAAATTATGTTTTATGGCTGCGAAGATTCAAGCTGGATTCATTATTCTCTCTCCATTACTATTATAATTAAAGCTTTTTTGTGGGCCCTCAGCACTGTTTCTGCTGGCCTGTTGGAGAAGCCAGTCCTGGCTGCCCACCTGTGAAAGACATCTCATATGACCTTGGGCTGGTTATCTAAAGCCCCTGAACCTCCACTCCCTCACCTGAAAAAAAGGAGATAATCTGACTTTGAAAGGTTGAGCACATTAGGAAACAAACAAAACACATCAAAGTAGCCAGCCAAGAAATGTCAGTCCCTTCCTGCCACACAGATCAGTGGCGAGGGGTGGTGTCTGTGCCTGACAGCCAGGAGCACCGCCCCCCAACACTGCCTGGCCCTCTGCTGAGTTATTCTCAGGTAAAGCAACCAGTATAGGGCCACAAAATACATCCGTTTGTCTTTAAAAACCCGAGTAACAAAGTGAATTAGTTTGTATTTGTAACTCATAATCATTAGGCAGTATACACCTGAACAGGGGGTTGTGACAAAACAATGTACTCTGGCCAGAGGCTGGTAAGTCGTAGGACAGATGTGGTGCCCAAGGTCCCCGTGTGGAGAGGACAACCAAGCCCCCCTGCAGCCCCCGAGGGACGACTAAGAGAAATACATTTACCTTCTGTGTGCTGGGCTCCTGGGAGTCACGGGGGCATAGCAGACAGAGATCTTTAGGGCAGCTGTCATAGCAGAGTTAATCAACACCTTATTAACAGTTCTCAGGGGGGCCACAGAGCTCTGGAGAAAAGTCAGGGACCTTTGAAACCCGTACAGTCACATTCCTCGCTTTATGGATGAGACCGGAGAAGCTAAGGGAATCCCACAGGTCACCCGGTGCCAGCAAAAAGATCTGCCTCCCAGACAGTTCTCCTTTCCACCCCTTGGCTTCTTGAGATTCTTGAAGAGAATCTTTCTCCCCAGTCTGGGGCTTTCTAGATACAGATGTGGGGAGGGTGATGTAGCTGGGGACCTTTCAAATCATAAATCTCTAACACTGTTTATACTATTAATTTAGAACAAGCAGTACATTCAGCTGAGTAGTAAATCCAGGGCTGGCTACTGTTTGCCACAAATGGATGTCACCCTCCCTTCCTTTCCTTCCCAGACATCTGCGGCCATAATAAGGAACTATGTATAACGTGCACGAAGTCAGGGAGAAGTCAGTGTTCAGTTCCCAGCTCTGCCTCAGTTCGTCAGTTCCTCAGGCTATGTGGCCTGAGACCGATGACTTGACTTCTCTGAGTCTCTCTTTCTTCATGAAAGAGAGAATCCTCATGTGTAAAATGAGGATTCTAAATTACTTTTATTCTAGGAATCAGTGTACCGTCTCAGTTGAAAGATGGAGAGAATGAATGTGGCATGGCCACTCCCGAATATGGTAGCAATAGCTCACGTGATAGCTGCCACTGTTGTCACGTTGCCGTCATTAACATCAATTCATCATCCTTGTCTCCTCTTTCCCTCTCAACAGGGGAAGATGGTTGAGGAGGGTCAGACCAGAATATTCTCGAGAACTTGAAGGCCATGATAAGGCTTGAACGAGAGTGTTTCTGGGTTGTGGCACTTAGGGGAGGCATCCAGAGGACACAAGATAAAGGAGGGCCAGTACCTTGGCAAGATTTGACAGAACCAAAGAGGAAGAAAACAGCGGTGTAGACTAGGGAGAAAATGCATGAGAAATGTTTAAGGGCAATGGGGGAAAATTGGTTAGAGAAGTTTTTGGCAACTGTTTTTCCTCCTCAGCCATCTTAAAGATCCAGTAACTCAACAGGAACAATGATTGAAACCAGCAGAACTTGTCAGAGAGATTAGGGGTAAGGAGCCCCTCAGGGTGGGAGCCGATGGCGGCAAAGTGAGGTAAAATGTCAAGCGATATTTATAGGCTCCCCGGTTTTGGAAAGGATGCGGGAGGAGGACAAATCTGCTCCTTTGAGAATCAGCAGGCTGAAGCAAAGAATTCATGTAGCAGGGTAGTGGGAGATAAGGCTGGAAAAGCAATTTGAGATCTATGAAAGAAGCTTACGAGTCTTCATCCAGTGCTGTGAAATATGGTTCAGTCTAAAGACATTTGAATACAGGAGATTTTAATGCGATCAACTGCTAATTTGTCCTGTAAACTTGGATATTTACTTCGTATTTTCTAACAGTGAGTCACTCTGGTATTCACGTATCAGTATGTTATCTACAGACACTACCGTATGTGGTTTCTCTTCTGTTGAGGCAAGTGCCTCCCTGTTGACTCAGAAGGCACTTTCTTCTAATAAATCTTTTTCAGATGAGTAAGCTTGCCAAGATGGATTAATCTGGCCATGAATTAGTAAGTCATGAATTATTAAGGAGATTCTATAAAGAAGTTCCAGCCATTTTCACTAAGATTTTTGCCTAGCTTGGCTCCAAAATGACTAAAGCCATTTTATAGAACATTTTTCCTGATATTCTAACCTGAATTTTCCTTACTTCATACTTCCTTTTTTGCCAGCAGCGTTCCCTTTTCATTTTGGTATTTTTGATTTATCCACATTAATGCCTTAGGTGTGTGATCTTTTTAAATGGAGATTTCTCTTTGATTGCAAAGGAGTTTCAGGTGTTTGAAAATCTGTATCACAAAGTTAATATGTAGCTTTTGAAAAACCAAGCTTTTAGTGATGTTCCTGTTAATATAACTGTATCCTCACTCTTCCAACTTTTCATCACTATTAAAAACTCAATATATTATTTTTAAAAGGCTACAGAATCATCTTTTTTATTCCATGAAAAACTTTCTGAGAAATGTTTAGGTAAATTGAATTTTAGGTCATCAAATGAAACATTACATAGTCTAGGAAAACTTAATATTACAAAGAATCTGTATGTGTATATAGCTATACACACACATATGTATATATACATATATAATGTATAATATAGACACTGTAATATGATTATAGCCATATTCAATGTAATTAAGCCATCATTTAAGATTAAAGTCCCTTAAATTATCTTATTTTTAAAAAGCATATAATATAAACTAGGTTTTGATAAAGGTTTCTTTAAAAATTACTGTAAAAATTTCTTGGGGCCCCCGGGTGCCTCAGTCTCAGTTAAGCTTCGGACTCTTGGTTTGGGCTCAGGTCATGATCTCACAGTTTGTGGGTTCGAGCCCCGCATTGGGCTCTGTGCTGGTGCATGGAGCCTGCTTTGGATTTTCTCTCTCCCTCTCTCTCTGTCCCTCCCCTACCTGTGTTCACTTGCTCCCTCTCAAAATAAATAAACGTTAAAATTTTTTTTTTCTTAAGACACAAAAGCTCTAAGCATATGGGGAAAAATTGATATACAATATTAAAATTATGAACTTTTGCATCATAAAATACCATTAAGAGTGAAAAGGCAAGGAAGTCACAAAGATGGAAAAGGATTTACAGAACATAGATCCCATGAAGGACTCATATTCAAAATATGTTAACAATAAAAAAATAAAAACTTCTATACATCAACAACAAAAAGACAGAAACCCGATAAATAAACAAAAGACTTGAACAGGCACTTTACAACTTAATAAAAATAAAAATAAAAAAACAGCCACTCTGCAAATTTACAAAAGTAAAACAGCCAATAAATATTTGAAAGAAGCTCAGTCTCATTGGTCATCAGTGAAATGTAAATTAAAAACCACAATGAGGGGTGCCTGGGTGGCTCAGTCGGTTGAGCATCCAACTTCAGCTCAGGTCATGATCTCGCAGCTCGTGAGTTCGAGCCCCGCGTCGGGCTCTGTGCTGACAGCTCAGAGCCTGGAGCCTGTTTCAGATTCTGTGTCTCCCTCTCTCTCTGTCCCAACCCACTCGCATTCTGTCTCTGTCTCTCTCAAAAATAAACAAACATTAAAAATAAAAAAATTAAAAAAAAAAAAAAAAACCACAGTGAGGGGCACCTGCCTGGCTCAGTTGCTGGAATGTGTGACTTTTGACTCTTGACCTCAGAGTTGTGGGTTCAAGCCCCACATCAGGTGTGGCGATTACTTGAAAATAAAATGTTAAATAAAAAAAAAAAAAA